GTTTCAGTCTTTCCTATTTTCAGTGCAGTGTATGTAGTTTTCATTAAGAAACAGTATTTTAACTTAAGGCTCCTCTTTCAGTAACAGGAGAATAATGAATTTGTATATAACAACTCCCACCAGCCTTCAGAGGGCCACAGTGATTATATAAAAATATGTAATCTGTGATATGCATGTAATACCACATTTTAATGACTTGCTTTTTACTTATTGACCTCCAGGATAAAGTACAAAGAGGTTAGCACTAACACTGTGATTATGACCACTTCAGAACTGTCAGGGTTGGCTTGCAAGGAATAATTAACTGTAGTTTAGGTGTGTTAATGATTGTGATTTAAAAGGAGAATGTCAAGTTAAAAATTATTGGATTTCTTTACCGATTAATTAACAGCATCTTAGTCCCTGATCCCAGAGTGGGACCCATGAGGACAGAACTTCATGCTTGTGTGGAGCTAAACTGAAGTCAATGGGGCGTGGTATGGGCACAAGGCTCCAGTTGCATGGCTCTGTGTGCAGGACCTAAGATTATTTAAATTTGAAAGACTTAAATATCTGGTTTACTTTTCACTCATTATGCTCTTTTGTACTCTTTTTATATATTGCATTCAACTCAGCTTGGATAATGAGAACAGAATGATCTGGGCACTTTTGTATATAATCAGTTTCACTTTCTTCTTCCCAAGCGCCAACCATAAGGCTGTCAGCTTTGGGTTGCAAATGTTTAAATCAAAAGTAAAAATATTTTAATTTTTTTAAATAAAGACTTTTCATGAAAAGAAAAACAGTTTGTTAGATCTTGTCTAAACACACAGTTTTTATATCACTTCAACTATATTGGGTTGAAACTGGCATAATTAAAGCAGTACAATCCCCAATCCCCCATTGGTAAAGCTTATCCCAGTAAATTTAAGGAAATAAGATATACTGGGAAAAGGCACCATTTATACCAATATAGCAGTGTCCTCACTAATTGCTGAAATGATTTAATAAATTAATTTCTTTTTAAATTACATCCCTAACCAAAATAGTTAAACTGTACAAAAACTGTGTTTGGACTACAATCCCTTAATTACTTTAGCTACTGTTATTTTGAATTTACACACACGACATTTTACCGAAAAAACTAAAATTGTTTTAATTCACACCTTTTGTTATTTCGATGCAAGTCTGTGTGTAGACCAGCTCTAAGAGAAAATGACGGACTCCTTTTTGCCGGCTTGCAGTAGGGAAAGACGTTTCATTTGTATCCTCCCTGTTCAGCCTTCCCATTCGATATGCATTGTGATGCTCTGCACTTGGCCATGAGTGATTTAATTAAATTATGGTAATTGGTGGGAAGTAATAGTATCCCTATTGTTTGGCAGTGGCATTTCTAAGACATGCCTGTACATGGATAGGAAATTACTGTACAAACGAAATGCAGGAATTTTCAGTTTAAAGCACTAAATAATGCAATTAGGATTGCACTCAATGACGGTATGCATCCGATGAAGTGAGCTGTAGCTCACGAAAGCTCATGCTCAAATAAATTGGTTAGTCTCTAAGGTGCCACAAGTACTCCTTTTCTTTTTCCGAATACAGACTAACACGGCTGTTACTCTGAAAAAAGACATATACATAGTCACACACTGGCCCTAAGCTGCAACCTGTTTTGCCCTGGCAAAAAAGGATCCAATGGGGGGTATTTAGGGCCAGGTCTACGTTGCAAACTTTTGCTGGTATAGCTATGTCAGTTAAGGGTGTGATCTCTGACAGACACCACCAATGTACACAGAGTTAAATCAGCAAAACTGGTATAGTTTATTTTGCTTGGTTGCGGGGGAACTGGAATAAGCTATACTGGGAAAAGTGAAGTTTTGCTGGCATTAGCTGTGTCCACACTAGGAGTGCTTTGCAGGCATACTACACTGGTCTGGCTATGGTGGCAAAGTACTTCTACTATAGATCTGGCCTGAGTCTTCACATTCTGAACTGTATGGCCTAGGTAGTTACAGAAATGGAGAAGAGCTTCTACACTGTAATGATGAGAGAGTTTGGAAAGAGGGTATAACATGGTACCCCTTGAAAGCAGATAAAAATAATTTTTGTCTTGAAGTGTAAATAGCACCAACTATGGTTTGAGTTTCTTTTCCTGAACTGTGCTACAGTGTTGGCTGTTAGCAGGACTGCAGCACAACTGGGGAACATGGTAAAAACAGTTTGGTTCCGTCTGCTAACTAAGACTGAATCATATTTCAGTTTTGTGGGACAACTAACACATTTTAACTCTGTCCCCAAACTCTGCAGTTGTTATAGTACAGAATGGGCCTTTCTCAGATTGTTAAAGTGGGAAATTGTGCAATATGGGGTTTTGCAGGGTTTCACAGGCATGCAATGAATAGCTACTGCCTTTTCCCACTGGTATTTTATTTCATTGAATTGTGTTTTAATTCTATTCAACTCAAACTGCAAGCTCTTCAGTGATTCCATGCACATCTATAAGTATACAACTAAAAGCAGAAGAAAGATTAAGCACCTGTCCCCATTTCCCCCCTGGTGGATGGTTTGCTCTTTGGAAGACCTTTATTTATATTTGTTTTATTGTGAGCTGTTTAAACTTATGAATATTTTACGGCATTGTGGTGGTTATAAAATGGTGGAAGAAAAGCTGCAGCTTTTCTTCCACCAATAAATCAGTATTGATATATAGTACTTTAAGCTAAAATGCTTATATATATTATCCCTTGCACAAACACAAACAAACATGCTTTTGCTGTCTGAACACAACAAACCAAACAAAAGATGCAAACCCTTCAAACATGATTTCTATTTAAACGAGTCAAAATACAGCAGACCTCTAGTCTACCCTGTTGCAATGAGCAGGATCACTGTTCTAAAATGTATAGTTTTAAAAAACTAAAAACGTATACTAGATTTTTTTTATTTTAAAAAACATTTCAGTTCAAAAATACTCTCCCACTGTGAACTAACATTTCAGTTTTTCAACAAAATGTATCATAAAAGAGGAGTCCCTTGGTCTAGAAGGACCATTTGGAAATGAAAACAATGTCAAGTAAATTGCTATCGGAGAGACCTATTTGAAAAGCTGCAACTTAGTGACTGAAAGAGGCATCAATGTTGTCAGATTGTTAGAAACTTTTATTCCTTTGTACAAAAGTCTGATCTGTGCAAATGAACTAAAAATATGACTGCTCAGTGATTCTTTGTTATTTACAATTGACTGTCCTGTTATACTGCTTATATTGTACTGCTAAAGTAACATCGTATGATGGCATTTTCAGACTGCTCCAAAGTTGAAGACTGTAAGAATGTTGTCTCTTTAAGGCACTCATGGAATTCAGACAGGTATCACATGAGACTATAGTACTGATCAAAACTTTTAATTAATGCAAAAGACAATCATGCTGCCTTTACTTTAGATTAAAATAGCCCAATAAAAAAAACTTCCTTAAAAGGTCTATTTTATTTAAAGGTGCTACTTGCTGAATTAATACCCCCCTTCCTCCTCTCCAGAGGAGTATAATAATGTGTCAAAAATCTACTGTACAACCTCATACTCCCCAAAATAAAAAATTCCAAGTTAAACAGGGAACACTGGAGTTCAAGGTTCCAGAGAGAAAAGGAGTACACATTCTTAGAAGCACCAAAAGTAGATACTATGATGATGGGTGCATTAAGAATGCCTAATATTTGATTGATCTCTTGGGTTTCCCTACTGCATAAAGCAGTGCTTTAAGAACTGGCATTCATTATGGTTAGGATTATTTAGTAATCTTTCCAACTGGATTATTGCACCTTCCTCTGAAGCATCTGGCACTGACTACCCTCAGAGACAGGATCCTGGATTTGATTGACTGCTGGTCTGATATGACAATTTGTATGTTACTATGGGTGACAATGAGGTCTGGGTTAAAGCAATCCAATTCTTAGGCACACTCCCACACAGTGCCCTGGCAGCCCCCATCCTTTTGGGAGTCATGATTTTTGAATAATTGGGATCAGCAATACTGCAAATCAAAAACAGCAACAGGCAGGACTGCTGCAGATCCCAGTCAGAGTAATGAACTCAGGGAACAGAGCACCACAGTGAAATGTTCAAAACTAAGGCTGAATCTCACCAAATACAGAATCAGTGACCACAAACTGGAGATGGAAATTGGGAGGAACAAAGCACAGTCTAAACCTAGAAAAGGGCATTGCTCAAAAGGCAACTGTGCAGTCAATGTTGCAGAGTACAGCTTGAGACAGATAGAGATTTTCTGTTCTAGGGGCCCAAATACAAGGAAGTGAGACAAATATTTCCTCCAATAATCCAAAATCATAACAGACATCTCATCCAAAAGTGATGAGGAAAAGGTGCCTGATCCTGGCAGAGAGAGATGACAGCGAATACAGACTAACACGGCTGTTACTCTGAAACTAGCCATTGTACTATGTATCTATTTACCATAGGATCAGCAATGGTTAGCAATGGCAAATGGACAAAGGCAATCAACCCCCAAACACAGTGTATAACCCCCTTCTGGGTAGGCTGTACCTGAGGAATCCTTTACCTATACTCTGGCAGCACTTGTATAGCTTGTCATGCAAATAAACCCTGAAGACAATAGAATTGTAAGATTCTTCCCCTGGCAGGGAGGTCTTTTGGGGGTGGTATCAGTGGAATCCCCTCCCCCCTCAAACCCTCTACAGATGTGGTCGCTCAGGGACCACAACTATTTCTGATCTTCAAGCTGGTGGGACTCCTGAAGAGGTGGCTCAGATTCCGCCTTCCAGCACAGAGGGCCCCCCTTGCCCCAACCTGCCCAGAGTATCAGCAGCAGCAGGTGGGAGCTCCCTACCCAACCTATGAGGAAAATCAACAGCAGGTCATGGTCACACTTCCCTGACTAACCAATTTATTTGAGCATGAGCTTTCGTGAGCTACAGCTCACTTCATCTGATGAAGTGAGCTGTAGCTCACGAAAGCTCATGCTCAAATAAATTGGTTAGTCTCTAAGGTGCCACAAGTACTCCTTTTCTTTTTGCGAATACAGACTAACACAGCTGTTCCTCTGAAACTTCCCTGACTGGCAGTCTGTTCCACCGCTGCTCCCTACAGCTGGGGTCCAGCGGCTAATCCGACCCTGACGCCAAAACAGCCCACCAATGCGCTGCAGGAAGCTACAAGTTATAAGAATAAATCCAACCTCCAGCACGATGCCTATCTCCCAGGTGAGCCAACCCTCCTCTTCGCCACTTAGCCTTTCAGTGCGATCGCCCGGGCCCGAGATCTCTGCTCCCCACGATGCTCTCCTACTTCAGTGCTGCGCCTCGGGTTGCCACGGAGCCTTTTGCCTTCACCGCGCTGGAACACAGAGAAGAAACCGAACCGAAGCCCGATAGAAATGCTCACAGCGGTGGCTCCGCCGCTGCGGCTGTAACCCGTGCTCCCTACGTAGCGTGTTGCAAGCAACCCGGGCTGCGCTCGATGGAGCGACACGGCGGCGTCCGGACGTTCGGTTGTGGAACGCTGGGGTGCCGCAACATTCCAAGCGCGACCCCAGATGACAGCAGCACCGCCGGCTCCTTCTGACTCTGCGGAACGGCAGCCAGCGCTCTCCAGACTCCGGCCCGCAAAAGTAGGTCAGCGCTGCACTGAGCATGCTCGAGCTAGAGCCAGGCTGCTGTGAAAATTCATTGAGCTGCCCAAGGTTGATGCAGCTTCTTTTCCTTCCCTTCTCCACACTGAAGGTCACCAGACGGAGTGGAATGGAGCCTCCAGAGATTAAGGGATCCCACCTAGCTGGGAACTGGGGAAATACAGTTTGACAGGTTCTCCTCTGGCAACAGGCGATGACAGCGGATTCTGCACATCATTAGCTGATTTAAGAGAATCAAAATAATAAACACTTAATACTAATGATTTTACGAATGATCGAAGATTTTTTAGTTATATTGAAACCTTTGCACCTTCAAACCCCGGCCCCGTACATCCTAGATATTTTGCTGACGTCTAAAACGTTGATTAAAATAATTTTTATTCTGACTATCCCTGAGCCAAAAAGTGCCCTCAGTGGAATTTGAAGCACTAGAGAAGATTTAGCATTATAGGACTTCTTGTGTCTACCTTTAACATCCATCTTGAGCAAATAAATGCTTTTCTTAATCAAGATGGTTTGTTATCTGGAATAAATTCTTCTATTTTGTAACTCTGCTACAGAACAATACAGATTGATGTAAATTGCATTTATGGCACTACATCTCTTTTCAATTATCTTGTCAGACTAAAAGAACTGAAGTAAAGATAATTTCATTTAATAGTGTAGGGCAAAATGGTGTGGTTTAGAAATGGAAAAGTTCAGAACGTTGCTTTTAGTTGCATATCAGTTCTCTGCTAGCTGTATATATTACTCAGTAGCAATCCTTTTCCTAGCATTGATCATATTGTCTGCTGCAAACTAAGACTAGCATTTGATATTAGTCTAGCATTTTATATTTACTGTAGTGAGTATACTTTACTTCTCCAGCAGTGCTTGTTTAATCACAAGAAGCCTTTTCATTAGTGTAAGCAGAGAACTTTGGAATTACCGTTAGTTATATTTAGGCAGTGTAATCACGGCAAGCCCTAGACCAAATGGTGCCACAGGCGTGGAGCGTCTTTGGTACTTCCAACCTCCATTTGTTAAACTTTTGAATACCTTACAGCACTCTGAGTCCAGCGCCCCCCAAGCCTGGCACCCAGGCAGTTGTATGGGTTGTCTGCCTCTAAATCCGGCCTGATCGTGGCAGTTTTGTAATCATCTTTTTAGAAAATAAAGATAAAATTGTATTTTTCACCTAATTATAGTCTCTGCAATCACTAGGTGGAGTGGACCACAGGTGCAGCAAAGTATTACTGTACTTACAAACATTACACTATAGCTGTGGTTTTCAACCTCTGGTCTACGGATCTCTGGGGGTACGCAGACTTTAACAGTCTGCAAAAGGTTGTCATTAGAACAGTGGTTTTCAACCTGTTGTCTGTGAACCCCTGGGGGTCCACTGACTATGTCTAAGATTTCCAAAGGGATCTTGGAAAATAAAAAAAAGGTTGAAAACCACTGCACTATAGGCTGACAACAAAGATCAGGAAGAAAACAATAGATTTTTTTCAAACACTATTTAGTACAATAGCCATGTTTGAAAGTTTAGTGATCAAAACAAATGCATGGGACAATAGATTGATACATTTAAAGTAAAATGACAGGAAGTGTTTGATCATGAAAAATACCTTTTTAGAGAGAGAGAGATTATACTGTACTTAAGTATCTTAACTTTTTAAAGATTCTCTATTCCCATCGAAAAACATTTAAAGATATATACTATTGCACATGAGTGACAAAGAGAAAACAATTGACTTCCTTTCTTATAATATGTGCATTAAGCTTCATTAGAATATATATAGGCCCAATCCTGTTTCTATTGATGTCAATAGGAGTTTTACCATTGTCTTAAATGGATTGGGCCCTACGTGTATAAACAAAGTTATTTTTTTATTATCTGAAACCTAAAACAAATACTATATAATTCAGTTATTCTGTCATCATATGGGAATATTGTGACTGCCATATCAAATCAGATGATTGGTCCATGTATCTTTGAACCTGTGCATGATTATCAGCTCTGGACAATTTAATATGGAATAGAAATGTTCTTTCCAATGTCTGGCTTGTTCTTCACACATTTTCAACATCTAGAAGAAGGACCAACAACACCCGACAACATTAAGGCAGGTTTCAAAAGCCTCAAAGAGGGGAAAGCTCCTGATGGTGACAGAATTCAATGAGAAGTACTAAAAATGGGAAGCAAAATTCTGACTGAGCAGCTAACAAAACTCTGATGAAATATGGGTGAAAGAACCAGTGCCACAAGACTGGAAAGATGGTATCATTGTGGCATTGCCAAAAAAAGATGATCTTATTCAGTACACAAACTGGAGTGGTATTGTACTGCTGTCAATCCTGGGCAAAGTATTGGCTACTGTTATGCTGAATAGAATGAAGAAGGCAGTGGATGCAATATTACAAGAACTGGCTGGGTTCATGTTATGAACAGATGTTCACTCATTTGACAGATCATTGAAAAAGCTACGGCTTGGCTAAAACCAATCTTAATTAACTTTATCGACTTTAAGAAAGAGTTCAATAGTGTCCACAGCGAGACCCTGTAGAATATTGCTAGAAGTATGGATACCAGACAAAGTGATCCATGTAATAAGGAATTTATATGCTGGAAGTAGATGCGCAATATGATTGGATACAGGCCTGGGTAAGTGGTCCAATATTATGCCTGGAATTAGACAAGGGTGTGTATTATCACTAATCCTCTGTGCATTAGCAAGAGACTGGGTGATGAAACAGGCAACAGAAGGCATTGTGGATGGTGTAAAATGTGTTAGCCGAGATGAGTTACACAATCTTGACTTTGCTGACGACATAGCTCTCCTAAGTATGACATGAAATGGAATGATTGTCCTTACCTCAGAAGTAGAACAGGAAGCAGCAAAAAATTGGATTGAAAGTAAATGTAAAGAAAACCAAGATTATGAAGATAGGAAGCTGGAGAACAGGTGAAAAGGTGTACGTGGATGGGAAAAAATTAAACAGGTAGAAGTGTTCTGCTATCTGGGGAGTACGATGACATTTGAAGGTGGGTGTGATAAAAATATTCATATGAGATTAGGCAAAGAAAACACCACTTTTGGAAGGAAGAACAACTTGTGGTCGAATGGAGGTCTCCAAACCAAACTAAAGATCAGATTATTCCATGTGATTGTACTGAGTATGCTATTGTATGGAGCGGAGATATGGCTGATGACAGTGACTAACACAACAAGATTGGAAGCTGCCCATCACAGATAGCTGAGGAATATACTTCACATTTCATAGAATCATAGAAATGTTGGGTTGGAAAGGACCCCTCAAGAAGCCATTAAGAAATTGAGAATTTCATGGAAAGACAAAATAACAAATGTGAAAGTAAGGGAGCTGACAGAGCAGGACGTGTTAGAAAATATCATCAAAGAAAGAAGGCTCAGGTGATCAGTACACCATATGGAGATAGGAGACATGCTAAGCAAGCATTGATTTAGGTAGCTGAGAGAGGAAAGAGAAACAGAGGAAGGTCAAGGAAGAACTGGTAGAAGACAGTGACAGAGGACATTGAATGCTCTGGCATTCAATAGGGAAGAAGTACTACAACTAGTGAGTGACCATAATCAGGGGAGAGTCTGGATTGCCTCATGTGTCAGTGGCATAAGCAGAACTCAGATCTAAGATAAGGGTCCGTATATCCCGTTGAGTAGTATCCTGCTTTCATAGAAAGGTGAGGACTTTTGATAAAGCATGTAGGCTCTAGAGCAGAAATTGACTAAGTGTCCCATTGTTCCCATTGAGGAAAATGGGAATCTGCTCAGGTGCAGATACCTATCTATGCACAGAACAAAAGAAGTATCATACTGGAGAAGACAAGTCCATCTAGTCCAGAATACTGGTTATTACAGTGTCCAGTACCACATGCTTCTGTGGTATGTGCATCACCCCCAGAAGATAATTGGAATAACCTGCCATAAGGAGAAATTACTTGCTCTGTCAAATAGCGGTAGGCTCATGCCCTGAAGCATGAGGACTACATTTTTTTTAACCTTTCTAAAATAACTGTGGATATTATTATTCATTTAAAAATGTAAACCTTTTTTGAATCCTATTAAGCTCCGGCCTCAACGATATCTTGGGCAATGACCACTATAACATTATGTGATATGTAATTAAAAACAATTTCCTTTTGTCAGCTTTAAATTTGTTGCCTTTTAATTTCTCTGAATGTTCCCATCTTCTTGTATTATGCAAAACCATGCATTAAGAGCTCCCAGTTTATCTTTATATACCATTCATTATTTTGTATACCTCTATCATCGCCTTTCAAAAGCAAATAGTTCATTTTTTTCAGTCCCTCTTTGTATGGAAGGCTTTTCACGCTGTAATCCATTCTCATCACCCATCTCTGTGGAGAAAATTCCTTTCTGATCCTCATACCTTAAGTGATCAGTAAGTGAAGCAAGAGATTTGATTATGCTTATTATACCCTTAGCGTACCTAACTACAAATATTATTAATAACAAAATTATCCAATTGCTTTTAAAATCCAATATTATTTGTCTTGCTTATTTCTTTTGGAACAGTGAATTCCACAGGTTGACTAAAAACTGTGTAAAGTTAAGGATATTTATTTTTTCGTTTAAAATGTTTTTGTACTATATGACACAATGAAAAGGCCCATCTTCAAAGATGTTATCTAGTGGTGCCAAACCTCGTAAGGCAGGAGGAAACAAAAAATCTTTGTGGGGAGGAACATACATTTTGAAGGAAAAAACAAAAATCCAACCTTGAACTGGATTTCAAACTTGTTTCCACTGTCCCAGGTTTGGTGTAGCTTAATGCAACGCCTGCCACTAATTTAGCACTTGCCACTTGAAAGCCAGGCTGGACAAAACTCCAAATAAAACATCAAAAGAGGGCCTGTGGTTAACAAGGGGATTGAGACTTCCTGGACTACACGGATGTGTGAAGAAAGGATCTGGAAGGCACAACAAGGCTGCTGTGAGGACCGCACCCCACAAATGATTATAAAGTGTTTATTGTGCTCAACTTGACCCCTTTCCTGTAACTTGGGGCCTCTTTTGAGCATTTTTTTTAGTGTTATACTAGATGTGTATTTTTCTGTTTATATTTCATTTTATGATTTTTTCTGTATTTTTTTCTGTGACTCCCATAAACTTTGCTGTTCTGTTATGTGCCTGGGATTGGAGTTGCAGATTGCCTATTCGGTACCTTGGAGTAAAGGAACCTGTAGTCTGATCTGATAGGCAGCAGAGCCAGGAATAGAGGACTGCAGTACCTGTCAAGGCCTAACTGAGCCTCCATTGTCTTCCCCATGAAATACCAGATAGTAACTAGAACGGACTAATGTGAGCCTGGGGTGAGCCCAAAGAGTCACTGTGTTTGGCTGACTTTGCCATTCAGCCAAACACAGGGAAACCCTTTAAGTCTTTTCCTTTCCAGGGCAAATAATCCTATTTTTTTCAATCATCTTTGTATGAAACACTGGCTATTCTTCTAACCATTTTTCCTGCCCTTCTCTGGCCTCTTATTTCACCAGCTGAGTAAGCTGATATCCTACCATAAAAATAAATCCATGTAGATAATTAGCTTTTGAAACAGTGATGTTTACCAATCACTGCATGAACTAAATATCAGACATTATACCACCATGGAAACAACCTGCTATTGTATGTCATGAATATAAAATAATATGAGGCACAGAGTACAGAACTGCAGATGAATGAGAGAGACACCGGGCACGCTGCATGACCTACAACAGGATTCAGTATTTGTGTAATCAGGGAGAATTGGCCAAATTATTCATGAGTCTCAGGGAGGCAGAGATGAAATATGTGGTCTATGGCCAAATAAAATAATATTTTTCTTGTGGAAAAGTCAAGATTATTATTATCATGTTATTTTAAACTTTATTCATACAGTGATCATTTTAGGAACATCACATAATTTGTGGTCTTGCAATTTATTTGTAAAAGGATTTATTTATTTGTAAAATTTATTTATAAAATATTTATTTGTAAAAACTGGCTTTTTGATCTTGCAAAACAACAGTTGTTATGATTTCTATCCCGGGCTTTTTATAAAGAGGAGTGCTTTTTAAAAATAATTTAAACTGATAGATAATTTGTCAATAAGATGGTTAAAGCAGGAGGAAAACTTCCAAAGGAATAAAACTAGTCACATTTTAATAATAAAGATTTACTCTTGAGGAAGTTGCATGATTTGTGTGAGTCTAATATTAGAAAGCTAATCCAAAGCTATATTCTCTAGTGTCATACCACACTTGTCAGGAAGCTGATATATTATTTGGATTCATATTAGCAGCTGTAAATAGGAAACAGAGCCTAGGACTTGACCTTTAAGTCAGTGGTATCTCTAGGGATAAAGAGCCTGTTTTATACCTAATCAACAACTAAATGTCACCAGTGCATGGCCATAACACAGTGGGTGCAGAATTTATCCTGCAGCAAAAAATGTGATTGCCTAGGTCTTGTTAATTGTTTCAGAAGTCCAGTTTAACATGGTTGTGTGTATTTCTCAAGAGAGTTACATGGAAGAGGGAAAACACCCTCTGTTAAAAAACAAAAAAAACAAAAACAGAGTACTGTATTGCAATTAACTCCTTCTGTGCCGTAATATATAGGGCTTAGTCCTGCAAGGTGGTTGCAACTGCAACCCCAGTTGAGCCAAGCACTTAAGCACATGAGTAGCAGGAACATTAAGTAAGTGAGTAGGTCCACTGATGTTTAGCACATGCTGGCCTGGGCAGAATCAGGGTCAGAGTGCTGAGCAACTTGCAGGATCAGAGTTTTATAGCTTTAGATGTATGTTGTATGCCAGGCTTTCCTGTTAAATAGACTTAAAATATGTACTTATAATTTCTTCCTGCATGTATGTAGTTATGTCTGAATACAACTGTAAAAATGTATGGTTGAATTCACTGGTGATCTTACAACTGGCAAATTCCTAGCTGTTCAGTAGCATCTCACCCACAGAAAGCTGTGTTTTAGTGATGGAGAAGTTCTGAATATTACCTTTTAGCTTCATAACAGTGATCTCCTATGAGGTATAGAGCACTTTCCAGCTGTTCTCTTTCCAGAACTGATCATATCAATTGCTGTTATGTGTCTATACAAAACAGAATACTATATACAATAGACAAGGACTTTGAGGGGAAAAACTCTCAAAAAAGGTTTGTATGGTTATTTGTCTTACAGACTGTATGGGATCAATTTACAGCAGTGTCTAAATATCAGTAATTTTTGCAGGAGTTGGGTCACGTTTCCAACAAAATTTGTCTGAACTTGTGCAATATGCTGCAGAGATAAATGAGTAAACTGAATTCTTCTTTTTTTTCCCTGTAAATGAGAGGGCAGGATTTATAAAGGAAGCTGAACACTAAGGAAGACTTGGTACAGGTTTCATTCCTCAGCACCAAAGCATAACCTGCCGATTTGTAAATATATGACTTACTGCTACAAATAAAACGTTTATAATCAGAGAAAATTTGACATGACACATATTGTAATTATGTCTTTCTTGTGGATGGCATTTTGATTTTGAAAATCTGTGGATAATTCAGCAGATATTTCCTCAAAAGGATCAGGTACTTACCCCAGGTGGGCTTTAGCAGCAAGGAATTCTGGCTTTTATAGATTATACTTTTGACTTCAAGTCAAATTGATATTAGGAAAGGGTTAGTTTATTTGGTAACAGGGCAATTATCTGTTTTTATATAACTTTTTTTCAAGCACTAAGTCTTTAGTACAAAAAATAATCAAAAATATTTACTCTTTTACAGGTTGTTATTTCTAATAAATACTCTGAGAATATTTCTTAGATAGAAGAAGTTTGTGTCAGTTGTCTCTGCATGACATTATCCAGAAAAAAATGAAATAAAATTGGATCTTCCCTTCCATAATGTGCGTAACTAGGTCTGCAGCATTCTGTATTCTGGGGTTTCTAGCCCAGATTAATTTTAAGATAGTCCTTTGGGCCCAGATCCACAAAGGTACTTAGGCTCCTAAATCCCATTTTTAGACACCACTGTTATCCACACACCCCCTGCTCAGCTGCCACCTAACCCTGTAGGTGCCTAAACTCATTCCGCATCTGTTTATTTCAGTAAAAGCTCACTGGGTGCCTATATTTCTGCCTCTGGGCATGTGCACTTCTGCCTCACTTTAGGTGTCTGTACTCCTGTCTCCCACCTAAGTCCCAGTGTGATCTGCAAAGCAGGAGAATACAGGCATTCCTGTTGCCTGCAGGGCCCAGTCTGGTAGGTGTGCTCAGAGGCTACTGAGCTCCACACAAAACAGCTGGGAGGGTGGGGGGAAGGAGGAATTTACTTCATAAACTTTTAGCCCAGAGGTTAGGGCAATCAGCTGGGATTCAGGAGACTCCCAGTTCAGTTTCCAGTCTGCCTGACAAGACAGGAACAGGACTTGAGCAGGGCACTGCCACCTGCTGGATGTGTGTCCCAGTCACTGGACTATGGGACATTCTGGTGTGAGTCTTTCTCCATTTCTCCTACTACGGTTGTGTCACTTGAATTAACTAATGGAATAATTAAATATTATTTGGGCCAGTGAAAGTGTGAAGATCCCTCTGTAGTCCAGTATGTAGGGCCCTCCCCTGAGAGGTAACAGATCCCCACCCAAGTCCCTTCTTTTCCTGAGGCAGATGGGAGTCTTGAACAAGGGGGGTCTTCCACATCCCAGGTGAGTATCCTAACCGTGGGGCTAAAGATTAGAGATGCCGTCCATCCTGCTGGTCTTCTTGTGCGACACAAATGCCTAACCTCATTTTCCCAAATCAATACCTAGATACGGGGATCAATTGTAAACATGTTGTTGTAATTCATTATGTTTTCGTAATGATATTTTGAATTGTTTGTACATCAGTCTTTGTGCTCCGTGGGGGAGGGCGATTAAATATATTTCTCATCTATCAGCCTATAACAGACAGTTGTGTGAAAAATGAGCAGACTTTTTGTGGTTTATTTCAATGACGTGACCTTCCTTACACAAGGAACTATATTCTCCAATGGAAGTGTTCTGCTGAAATGCATTTCCTGATTAGTTTAATAAGTATGTTGAATAATTTACTTCTGACAGGGAGGGACATAGATTTGTGATGATGTTAAACATAATTTTATCCTCAACTTTTCTTAGAAAATA